TTGGATAATCTTAAACCTTATGCCAGCCACTGCATAATGCATAGAAATGAGCTGATTTTGGTAGGTCTTTTCATGTCTGACAATACACCTCGAAATCCGTGTTTCCATAAAAACATTAAAACCCAAAACAAAATGCAAAAGAATTATTTTGACTCCGCTGCTCTTTATTTAGTCTAAATTACGTAAAACCACCATGACTGTTGGTTTTGCACAAATATAAGTCAGTCCACCATTTGAGTGCAGCAGCTTGCTTGATGCACTCAAGAGTTTTTACTGTAATTGTTTTTGGCTCATCTGTCAGCACCTCTGATCTGCAATTAGCACTAGATTATTTCCTCAACCATTCACACCGAAATCCAATTTTCCTGTTTTTCTGGTTTGTTTGCTTGTATCAATATTCAAACAGTGCCAAAACTGCAGAGGTGAGGAGTAAACTGCCACTTTTATTCATCTGCAATAAGTGCTGCATACAGTGAAAGAGGATTTTCTGTTTGTACTCTCTTAATGTATTCAAGAGGAATTAAAGCACATTTTTGAGAGCAATTTAGAATGACAAATATAAATCGTGTCTATTGTGAAGTACATATAAATATATATTTGTAAAATACCTTCAAGTAGGTTTTAAAGAGTCTACAGATAGAATCACCACTTGCGTTTCAAAGGAGGAGCTAAATTGTTGTCCATTTTCAGACACTTTCTATAGAAAGTTAAGTGGGCAAATTTTCCAAAAATATTCCAAATTGTAACCTTTTTATGAAAATAATGTTTATGGCAATTATTTGGACATTTGGGGTTCTTTAAGCCAACATATTCCACAAATATAACCATATCATTGTCATTGTGTATATAGCATGCACAATAACAATAAAGACAAATTTATTTCTGCTATTGTAGAAATGTCATGTGATCTTTGCCAGTCATTAGCATTACACACCAAACACATTTACCCAACGATCTGGTCTGTAATGGCTAAATTTGGGCTCTGAAATGGGGTTTCGTTGGTTGGCAACATCTGTGCATGTGATGGAGAAATGCACAGCGTGGACAGAGGGTGTGGCCTCAACTGTCCTGCAGTAAGCAGGCTGCTGTGTGCAACGTAGATATTCCCAAGTATACTTTCATGAAACATAGTTGCGTTTCATGAATTCGTATCATTTTTTTCCCCAACCAAAAACAACTCAGTGTTCAATGTCTTAAATTCCAGCTTTATTCCAATATATTCATGTTAATTGCCACGGAAAGTTTCCAACCTTGAATTTTCCCAGGGGTTTTGCAAACCCAATCATCACAGCGCATCATGTACTAATTTCACAAAACAACAAAACAAAAAAACAACTAGTCGCTAAAGCCTGAACTTTTATGGTTAAAGCCTGAACACTTCTGGTTGCATTAAAGAATTCACACAGGCAATGAGTAAATAAATCCTGCATCATGAGAGATTTTATTTCCCAAAATAAATGCAGTCTCCTTGTTCTGCTGCTTTTCAGCTATGACTCTGCATGACAAATCAGCAAAACTGCATAACTAAAAACATTGTCAGACGAAAAAAAAAAAAAAAAAGAATAAAGAAACCCCCAACAGCGCAGGCACAGTGCAAAGCCCTTATCAACACGTACAAACACAGCAGTCAGCCAGCAAATCCAACGCACACAAATGCATATGACGCAGCCAGATGAATGGCCTGGCCACGACACAATGGTGCTAAATTAAATCAGCGATGTCGATGTGGCCCAAAGCTCTCCCCCTCGCAACAACATGCACTCACACGCAACCGAGGATCAACTAATAAGGCAGCTTTGTCTGCACGGTGATGCATTTAGGATCAGGTGATATCGGCCAGGGGCCTGGAAGATGTGAGTAGTCGTTCGCAGCTCATTATGCAAATAAGCATAGCAACAATTGTTCTCAAGCCCCGCCGCTCTGATTCCTGAAATAATGATTTGCTCCCCAGACCTTTTAAAATCTTTTGCGTGCCCTTCTATTTAAAGATCAGCTCACACAGAAAGGCAATTGAACGAGCCAGAATGGACAAGGATTTATTTATATATTCTTTTTTTACTTTTTGCCAGACTAAGCATCAGGTGTTAGGAAGCCGGGGTACAAATACGCCTATTACTTCCACTGCTTCACCTCTGTCCCTACAGCCAGCAGGCACCTGTCTAACATGGGCCAGTTAGTAAACAGGTGGGAACATCAGTGTCACTCAGGCATGAGCTGCCCCAGTGGAGCTTGTCAAAGCTCATATGTTCATCTGCGACCTTACTAACGTACACAGCTGAAGTGGGGTTATGAACTCAACCTAGTTTGGAAAACAGAACAGAACGATGGCTGAAGTTTCCCAGAAAGTCATTGATTGTTGGCTGACAGAACAAAGGGGATTAATGTCTTATACGTTTGATAGCCTTTGGAGAGTTGATTTAGAAATGTAAGTCAAATGACCTTATCTTTATTTAGCCAAACTTTTTTTAACCACCGAGTCCAGTCCATATTAATTTGAGCAAAAACATTGAAATTAATGCATCGCTCTTTTTGGCAACTAAAGCTTTATCCACACATAGGCATCATTAAACGTAGATGCTGTTTTACCTTTCCCTTTTAATAAGGATTTACTGGGAAATATTTGTATTTTAATCTTTAATATGCAGAACTTTACATTTCTTTTTCTGTCCGATTTTAAATATTGAATCAGATGATCTGATTGGTTTCTCAGCATTTGAGTAGCCTTTTTATTAAATTCTTTTCTGATCTTGAGTAATTACTTGGACGGTTACTTTATACTTTTACTTGAGTAAAATATGTTGAAGTACCGCCGCTCTTACTTGAGGACAATTTTTATCAACTCTGTCCGCCTCTGATTCTGGGTTTTATAGTTAAATTAACAATCGTTTACGAATTTAGAATACTAAAAGGCAAAAACACATTTAAAAAAAATTAAATAACGATAAGTTTTTAAATATTTTTGTGAAGATGTTTCGATTAAAATAAGTCTTAGCTTTGCATCTTTGTTAGGCCAAACAGCCGTTGCGAGATCAAACAGTTCTTTGCTACTAGGACTGTTTTTCATGTCTATTCTGGGATGTCAAGCTAATCCTTATTAAAATACAGTCTTCAGATCATTATTGTTATGTTCAAAACTTTCCTCACAATCAGTTTTCCTTTGCAGATACTAACTGAGATAAAGGTCTTGACTCTGACAGAGCCTCTCTGTCAACAATTTCCTGACCACAGTGACGTTGTCTTTCTCATAATTGTCTTATTAAAAGCAACTGTGCTGCCCAAAGCCTGGATTTCATACAGACAACCGGATGCTTTCTGCCAGAATCCTAATGCATTATTCTGTTTGCTTTAACAAAATTGCCAAGCTCATTGACTGAACATTGCAATTGTGCCCACACTTAAAACAGCAGCATGAAAACAGGAAACATGTTAATTTATCTTGGGGGGAAAAAAATAACGATGGTCTTTGACGTGGCTTTCTGCTCTGGTTTCGTATGCCTCTGAGCCCGCCCACCAGCGGTGGGCACAGGTGATGGTTGAAGCTGGTGTCTGAGGTTTGTGATTTACAAAACTTGTTATTGTGGTAGTAAAAGAAAAAAAAATGCAGTTAATGCCAAGGAGACTCATGGTGGTGGGTTATGAGCATACAGTTGTTTTCATGTAAGAAAATGTGTGGTTGTGCTCTTTTTTTCTTACCTTTCATTTTTCAGTATAAAGTCTCAGTTTGTGTCAGAAGAGTGGATTTTGTATTTGACCATCTACTTTGAAACATGCAGGGTACCCCATCCTGGGGCCCCTTTTCATTGATATCTACAGTGTCCTGCTAGCTCAGATTATAACAAGTAATGGCTACCATACGTATGCAGATGTTACACAGCTCTAATACAATGAACACTAGAAAGCAGATGCTTAGAACAAAAGAGGGAAATCAAGAGTCAGTACTCAGCTTCAGCTATTACAGTTAAAAACTACTGAACAATCAGAGCCAGAATCTTGGTGTAATGATGGACTAAAACCTGAACCTTCAGAGACACAAAAAGACAGTTATAAAGTTGGTCTTCTATCACCCGAAGAACTTTTCCAGGACTAAAGTATGATGACGTCTCAGCAAGAGTTTGAAAAACTCATTTGTTGATCATAAGCAATGATAATAAAATTGATTACTGAAACGGTGTCTTCACAGGTCTCCCTAAAAAGTTAGACAGCTGCAACTGATCCAGAACGCTGCTATTGTGTTCTCTCTAAAACTAGGAAACTGAACTTGTGATCAGGCACAATTTAAAAATACAAGTTGTAAAAAAAAAAAAAAAGCGTTCAAGTTTTCCTGATTTAGATTAGTCTCATAAGACACATTTCCTTTAGCATTTCAACTTGCAGTGTAAAACTATTATAGAAAATAATTGTGTAGAGTGACATTGTAAATGCTTTCCTTCTTTTAATTTTACCTGTAAACTAAAACCCAAGTTTCTCAGAAATTAAAACCAGTCAAGAATGATTTTTAACAGAAATTTTATGTTGTTGCCATCGCCTTTAGCGATTTTATGAATGGAAAGTTGAGAGGACGGGAAAACGTGATAGAAAAAGGTGTACAAGTAAAGGAGATGTTGGTCTTATGTACTATTCAGATTTTCTAAAATCTCTACTTCAAAATGTATCACTCTCTGCATCATCAATCAAGTAAAGTAACTTTTTGATCATTATTTTAGTCACGTTAAGTTTACAAAGTGAGCACCTTAACCACTACTTCCTAGTGTTTCCATGGAGAGTCTTCCATACAAGCTGACAGGACCTGGGTGCAATGGAAAAGAATGTTGCAGAAGCAGCGGCTTGTTTGCTTGTCTTTCCCCACGCAGGATTCTCACAAAGCTGTAGCATCCCCACATCACCAGGTGCAGCGGAGCAAAACTCCACAACGTGGCCGCGAAAAGGGGCGGGGGTAGTGAGGCAGGGAGGGGGGCGTTGTCGCTGGAGGCAGATGGAGGGGGGGAAATGAGAGAGGGAGGACACGGTCTGGAAAGGTGGCAGGATTTTAGTTGAAACCTCCACTCTGTCAGACATGCGCAAGAGCAGAAGCTTCTCCACCGCTGCGCCGCGTTTCCGCCTTGGGTGAGCAAACGCGGGCGCACACAGTCCGAGAGGGGCGGGGAGTGAAGCCGAGACGCAGTGGCGGTAGAGAGGGGAGACGCAGCAAGCACGGATTCGAGCAAATTGTACGCCAGCCTCCACGTTTCCCCCCCACCCCTCCTCAGAGAGGCGACCTGTGCGGCGCGCGCCGGAGCCTTCCCAGCATGGACACTGCGCTAAAGGAGAGGCACTAAGATGTGACGCTCGCGGGACAAGATCAGGGGAGACAGAGAGCGCGCGTGCGCGTGTCTGTGTGTGCGTGCTCGTGGGGAAGAAAGTGGGCTGCACTCATCTTTCTTCTTTTTTTTTTTTTTTTTTTTTCCTCCCCCCACCCCCTGTTTGCCGGTGATTTCAAATCTGAGCTGCGCGGCGAGAAGATGAAGAAGTTTAACATCAGGAAGGTGCTGGACGGCTTGAAAGAGGCGTCCTCCTCCTCTTCCTCCTCCACGCCGTCTGTCCAAGTAGGGCCCCAGGAGAACAACCTGATCCAGGAGACGCTCCAGTCCGAGCATTTCCAGCTCTGTAAGGTGAGGGAGACTTCTGATTCTTATCAGCTCGTTGGGACTCCAGCTAAGCCATCCTGTCTGTGTGCGCCGTTTAATTAATTAATTAATTAATTAATTAATTAATTAATTTATTTTGTTTGGCTTGCTGTCATCCCATTCCAGGATGCACACGATGCGGGGAAGCTGCAAAGAATTATATAATTATTTGGAGATCCTTTGTTCTTTTCAAATCTTCATCTAAACTATTTCCAGGTGTTCTTTTTTTTTTTTAAGAGACACGGAGAGGATCTTTAAACCGTTCACTGATTGCATTTTAGTTTGTAAAACATCCGTTGAGAGGCAAATCTTACGTTCAAGTGACTGTGCGCTCGAAACAGTTTCAGTTTGGTTGCATTTTTGGACCTTTTCCCTGTCATCTGGTCACAGTATGGTGACATGCGTCGGTACACTCTGTGCAAAATGTCAGAGTTTGCTGTGTGTGTGCATGGTCTGAACTGTCATATCAAGGGGCTGGGCACAACTGATCCTTTCTTGCATAATCTGATGGGTTTGGATTAGCGAAACGCTTATCATGTGTCTTTCCTTTCACATTACCCCCCCCCACCCCCTCTGCACCCCCAATGCTCACATCTTAACTCCACTCTTCACACATAAAAAAAACAAAAACAAAAAAAAAAAACATGCAGGCTCTCTGTCCTGCAGGGAGTGATGCTGCCTGAAGTGACTCCGAGCCTGTTTGTAGGAAATAATGAAAAAAATAAAGAAAAATGTCTGCATCTCTCCATCTAGACTGCACTGAGTAACAACAGAGGGGATAATTAAACACTCATGCAATTTTCATGCAGTGCATGCTACATCTCAGCCCACTGCAAAGTTAATTTGGCATTTCCCCAGTTGTGCTTTAATGATGAGGTGTGGAGTTTTAATAAACCACACTGTGTTTGGCGGGTATCCAACCCCCCCCCCCCACACGTCTGACCTGCGTGGTTGCTAAAGACTCAATTCCGGATTACTTTTAAACTTGTGATTTGCCATGACTGTTTTCATGAGTCTCCAGTAGACACAGGAAGCTGTGTTGAACATGGAATCAGAGTTGGGGTGGTGAAGTTTCTGCAGAAATCAAGTTTGTACTTATAAAGACTGCCAGAAATAATAATGCAAACAAGATGCAGAGACCAGACTTTTTGTGATTCAGACTGTTTTATGTCTTTTATTTGTTTACTTGAATTTTTTTTACCAATTCAGATTTTTGTTTCCCTAAGGACTGTATCACCTAGGAGAAAGAGAGGAGACCAGAAAAGTATTTTGTTGCAGGTAGTAGTTTTTGTGTTGCTGAATTAGGATTGTTGCAAAACATGACCTTTAAATTTAAAGATGCAACAGAGTAAATTAGAGCATAATTTCTAGCTAATTATTTTCAATAATTTTTCAATGAAAAAGAGAAAATATCACCTTGTAGATTCACAACACACAGTGTTGTTTAATCCAGGTGTTAGTTTCTATTCATTTAGATGATTATGGGTTACAGTTAATAAAAACTTGAAGTTCATTTCCTTAGAAAAAATGAAGATTAGATGAAAAAAGACGGTTGGCTTTCCAGTTGTCCTGACAACCTACACAAGGACGGTGACTCAGAAAAAAAAAAAAAGGTCATTGCTATAGAAGCTCATAGATTGCTGTACATAATGTAAAGTTAAGTGGAAGGAAACACTGGTATAAAAAAAAAATCCCACAAGCTATAGAAATAACCACAGCTTTTTGGGAGAGCCATGAAGCAAAGCTCAGTGGAGGGTTTAGATGGTGTGAACTCTGCTGGAGTCACAGCTTCAGAGCCACCATGCTCACATGTGTCCAGGACATGGACTGCAACTTTTTAATTCCTTTTGCATGTAAGACACTGCCCAATAAAAATAAGTTTCTTCTTTAAATTTTAATCTCTGAAATATCTTCAACAATATATCAATTTATTGAGTCTCTCCTCAATATACACAAGATCGGCTGTGTTGACGTGTTGCTCCTGATAAGCATCAGATTTGGGATGCTGGAGAATCCGAATGTTCCAGGAAGGCACGTAAACGCTGTTCACTTTTGTTTTGGGGACTGAACGACTGTCGGTATGATTTTTGTGTTTGTATCTCAAAAATCAAAAACGCCCTACCTCTTAAGGTAAAAAAAAAAAAAAAAAGCTGCTAGATTTATGTCAACATACATGAAACACAAGGCAGCTCAGCACCTTCTGTAGATACAGCAGTTCAAGCATGTTACAAAAAAAAACAAAAATAAAAAACAGCCAGACATCTGATTGAAGCATCTTCAAATGAGACTTCACACTCCCTCTCGCACCTTCCCTGTCTGCCCAGACCAGAACTGTCTGCAACGTCTCTGCAAGAGAGGCAGGTGTCTCTGCTGCACCGAGTCCTCCTTATGTAACACGCTTTAGCCGTCTGCCACAAAGCAAACAAATCCAAGGGCCCACCGATGACTGACTGATGCCATAAAACCACAGTCACACATGCACCAACCGTGAAACATTTTTTATTCCCCTCGCTCTCCCCCCCTCACCCCCGCTCGTGCCATACAGGCCTGTAAGGGGACCAGATCATGAGCAAATGCACTTTATTGATGTATTTTATTTCCAGACTTCAGTGTAATCACGACTTGATGTGGGAGGCGGCGAGAGAGGAAGGACAACAACATAAAACAAGAAATGAGGGAGAAGAAATCTGAAAATAGGCCTGTGATTACAAAAGGAGGCCAGAATATCAGCCTTTTGCAGAAGACAAACCTAAACAGAAACATGATTTGTTCCTTTTCCTCATCCTGTTCTCTCTCATCTTTGCAATTTCAAACTTAATTCTTCAGTTTCATAACAGCCATCCACATCCATCTGGGCTATTTGTTTACCGAAATCAGGTGTGTGACATCCTCCAACAAAGCAACACCCCTGCTGTGAAATGCAAATTGATATTTTCTGTTATGAAATCTGACTTTTCTTTTTTTCCCCCCCTTCCTCCTCCGTCTCCATCTTCTACCTGCTTGTCGCACCAGACTGTCCGTCATGGCTTCCCCCATCAGCCGTCGTCGATGGCTTTCGACCCCGTGCAGAAGATCCTGGCCATCGGTACCCAGAGTGGAGCTCTCAGATTGTATCCTTTCATTTACCTTTTGAACTGTTGCAGAAGTCTGTGCCCTGAGGCGGCAGCAGGTAAGCGAGTGAACATCAGAGCTGCCATAGTCTGAGGCTGATGGACAGTTCTGCCGCAAAGGTCTTGAGTAAGCTTTCGTTTTTATGCGTTTTGCTTTGAGGAGTGAGACTTTCTGGTGACTTCATCATGAGTTTTTGCAGACTTTCTATAGGTCTAGTTTCTTTTTTCCTTTCAGTTTCACCTGGTTTTTCTCATTTTTAACCAAGCCCAGGTGTGTTTTAACGCTTGTTCGTGCCCCTTTGAACTTTTTTCACAATGTTTCATGTTGAAACCACCAAGTATCGATGCGTTTTATTTGCGCAGTGTGGATGATTGTAATTGTTGGATCAACACGGGGCAGTTTGTAGTTCAAAAGCTAAAAGTTACAGATATAATAGATATAGTTCCAGTTGTTAGATCAGTTCTGTCCAACTTCATTGCCCCCCTTTGAAGAAAAAAAACATCCTCACAGGCCACCACTACTTTACAGTGGAAATGATGTTTTCAGTATGATGTGTAGTGTTACTTTTCTACCTTAGAGTTTTGTGCTGTAGGCCCAGAAGCTAAATTTTGGTTTCATCTAACCAGAGCATCTTCTTTTACGTGTTTGCCACATCCTAAGAGGGCTTGTGGGAAACCTTAAGTAGGAATTCTTATGGCTTCATTTTAACAGTTGGTTTCTACTTGTTGCTCTTCCACGAAGGTCATATTTGCTGACTGCGTGATTAATAGCTGTCCTGTTGACAGTTTCTCCCACCTGAGCGGTGAATCTCTGCGGAGTTATCACAGGTTTCTAGGCTGCTTCTCTGATTGATGCTCTCCTTGCCAGGTCTGTCAGTTTAGGATTTGCTGATGTGGTATACTCTTTTCATTTTCAATTGACAGATTAAGCATCTCCTTGATATCATTTAGTAACCTAACGCTTTCTTTTAAACTTCTGCATGGCTTTTTATTGGCTCTCTTGCTGTGTTCTACGTCTCTATGTTGTTTTCCACTAACATTCTCTAACAAAGCACAGTGCAAGTGGATTAGGTAGTCTCTGAAAGCAATTGGCTGCTCTGGTTTGCATTTAGGGATAGCAAACTAAAAGAGGAATATGCTAATGAATAGCACATACTTTTTGTTTTATTTGTAAGGAGTCTGTAGACATTTCTGTTTTTGCATGTGTGTGCAACACTTGTCAGCTGTGACTGCTCTAAACTGCTTTTATAAAAAAAAGGTTAGTATGGTAAAGACTTTTCAAAACCATACATAATTTTCCCTCCTGTTTAAAATGATGCACATATTTTATGTTGTGTAATCGCATAACATCCTGGTAAAGAACTCTCAGGTTTATGGTTACAACCAAACAGAATGTGAAAAGTTCAGCGTTGTAGTGTGTGTGTGTGTGTGTGTTGCCCCTGTTTTTTGATGGGTTTTGGATGAACAGCTCTGCAGAGCCTCTGCATTTTTGAGTCTCAGTGGTGCAGGAATTGTAAGTCTGCAGACCTCTCATACCTTTAAGATAATCATGTCGCACGGCCATGATGAAATGTGTTACGTTATACCAACTCTGCAGTGCTACTTTATGGGGGCCTTTTTTTCCCCTACCGACACTGCTGTTGAACCTTTCGTTACATATTTCAAGTGACTGAGTCCCGTCATGTCCTGCGACTCGCCACAAGTGCACCGCTGTCTTGCAATATGAGGACATTTACGCAAGCAAGCAACAACAGCTTGCCATGAAATGACACCGCGGGGAGTCATATAGCTTCAGAGAACGCCTGCGAGCGAGCCTGCGTGAGGCCACCTTTACAGCTCCTCCATGTGTTCCTCTGCCTGTCCAACAACCCTTGCCAGCTCATTACAGGGTGATGAAGAGCCGTCCGCCTTGTTGTCTCTCCTTTTCTACCTGCTGGCAGCCGTGCTCATGACTCAGTCCTCACCTGTGCCGCAATCGAGAGGATCAATAGCAAAGATTCTCTCCAACAGTCTCCAGAATCACAGTTCCAGCTGAAAAGAAGCGTAACCTAGCCGGAGCAGATTCACACGTATTAGTTGACGGGCGGTGAAATGTCCGTGCTGGTGCATTTGCAGGAACTGGAGCATATAGACTTAATAGGGCTTATCTCTTACATGCTACTACATCCTTCCCCGGGATAAGCAAAGAAAGGCTGCAACCAAGAAGTCGGGCACCAATCAGCTTGGAGATCAAAATGTTCCCCTCCCTTCAGATTATCCTCGGCTGGGATCCTGCTGGGGAAAGTGGTCGCTTTGAAATCGAACGAAGGGAGGAATGTCTCACGTTTGACTGATGTGGATCAGATAATTTTATCAGACGAAAGTGAAATGGGAGGCGTATATCTGCTCCTTGATGCTCGTCCTCCTCCTCTGTTATTCTGATGTTTAGTCAGCCCTGACGCTTTATCTGATGCCACTGTGACATTGAAGAAGGGGTGAAATGGAGGTTTCACATCTCATAAGTCTTGCATTGCTGTATGCTTTGTTACTTGATAGTTTTGTAGTTTTGGCTGGTTGCGTCCCCTCCAGGGAATCCCATGCTTCGTGTGCATTTCTGTGCCTGGGTGACCTCCTGGACATTTGGTTGCGCCACTCTCCCTTTGGAGCATTTACAGGAAGCACAGATCAGAGGCCTTAGCCTGGCAGTACAGCAGAGAGCTGAGAATTACATCAGAAGCCAACGTGTATCCTCTGAGGAGAGGCCTGATCTGTTCACACCGCAAAGCCAACGGAGGCTTTGGGGCTCCTCCACGAAACGGTCCCGCGTTTGATGCTAGCCTCTGCATTTGCTTTGTCCTTCATCAACCGGCTGGAAAAAACATCTGGTCAGCAAGACGACCTGAGTTTGAGCTCAGGCTGAGAGAAGATGGAGAGGAGGGGGTGGAGGGAATAAGAGGTCTTGGGGAGGCAGGCTATCCCTTTTTCTAGAGCTAATGGCCAAGAATAGAATCCTTATTGATCTGTGTGTGGTAATGCACTGAGTCAGATATGCCCAAGTGCATACACACGCTTTATCACTCTCTCCCTCTTGCTTGCACACAGAGTCAATTGTTTTCAGCACAATATATCCGCAGTGAAAAGAAGTCATGAGTCTTAGAAAACAGGTTCTGCTGCACAAGCAGTCACCTTATATTAGCTATGCGCTGATTTAACTGTGTAATTGTAAAAAAAGAAAAAAAAAAACAAAACAAGCAGGAGCAACGGTGCTACATACCAAGGCTACGGCGTTTCTGTTTAAAGGCGGAATAGCAAAAAACAATTATAATAATGAAAAAACATAGAGCCCTTTGGTTTATTGGCCCATTGTGTTCTAGCCAAAATGAACAGAACTACCAGAACAGGATCCGTATTCCTTGCGAGGTTAACCAGATCAGTGAAATGAGGTAAATGTAACTGGCGTACGAGGAACATTGAAGGCCAGCTATCAACATACATTACCTGCTTGATGGAATGTCTGACTTCATTATTTAGGAAGCATCAGCTAATCTACAACTGTGCAAAAAGCAAACAAAAAAGCACCGTTAACATTTTGCCTAACGGTTCTTTTAATAAAAAAAGAGATGTAATTAGTTCATGCGTTGTTTTTTCTATAAGTAACTTGTCTTTTTCTTTTTTTTTAAGTTTTTATGTGTCAGACAATTTGAACGTATTTCTTATTTGCTCGAGCCATCTTTATCTAATTTTAAGATATATTTGAATAGAAACAAATTAACTGCGACAAAGTAAAACTGAAGATATCTGCGAGAGAAAATATTTTTTCACAGCACTGCATCTAGGAGAATCTTTGTAGTAATGCCCCTTTCTTGTCATTGAATGCATATTTCAGGTCAGTAGAACTAAATGGTTATTATTTAAAATAAATCTATAGAAGCAACAATTCTACAAGCCTTTAATAAATAAATATTGACCAAGTTGTTTTTTTTTAATGATAAACTACAATATAATTATCATTGGCATGTTAACTGGCCAAGCTCTTCTTTACTTTGCATTTCTGTTTTTAATGAGACATTAAAATATGAGCTAATTTTAACAGTGGCTCAGAATTTATATATATATATATATATAAAAACTGAATATGTAATTCTGAGTTCAAGCTCTTTTTTTTTGTCTTCATTTTTGGGTTCAAACTTATAAGGCTAAAATTTTGGCCCTAGGATAATTGAATTAGGAAGTCTAGATAGTGCAGTTGTTGTTCAGACTAGCTCTTCAGATGCAGTACTTGTGCTTCTCCTGTTTTAACAGCTGGTGTCACTATTGAGCAAATTTACCCCTTTTAAGTGGGGCCAGAAGAAGAGTTCTGTAACATCACAGTTTGAATTTAGCAGCTTATATTTAAAACCTTAAATGTTAATTTGATATTTTCAAACGGTATGAGTTATTTTTCTCGTTCAGAGACAGGGAGGCATGTGGAAACTAACTCGCTCACTCTTCCTGGAACCTCTTCATAAAGTATCAAAGGTCAGTTGTGCATATGAAGTTAGCTTAAACTTGGAGTGTGAGGTCTCTCACTGAGCACTGGTGTTTGGGAAGTTGGTATCAGCTTCCCAGATTCCCAGCGTTAATCTATAAGGAGCAGAGCAGCATATGTGGTAATATTCATATGATACTTTTGATGTAAAAACCATAAAACTGGCATTTTTATTCAAAATCATCTTAAACCAGCTTCTGCCTATCCTTGGTTCTGTAATCCTGTTGTTTGCAGATTAAAGCTTCTCATTGAATATTTTTTAAGACCTTTAATAAATTTCATCAGCTTACGAAAAATGGGGAATTATCCGTTTTCTGCAGATGGTGATTGGAAAAAAAAGAGACTATGCTTTATTTTTCTCTTGGAGGAACTTGCATAATTTTCATGGTTTTGGTCAGAGACATGAATGTTTGTTTTTACCATTTTAACATGGATATGTAGGTTTTTTTTGGGGGGGTGAGGGGTCTCTACAGCTGTGTGTGACAATATTGCT